CAGTTCCATGTAATCGGTTCCCTCTTCCCTAGCCATTCTCCCTTTACCCTCCCTGTTTTGCCACTCACACCACTGGTCCTATAGGGCTCATCCCCAACCAGGTTTTTATAATAGAGATTACGGAAGATTTTCAGAACTTGTGTATGAAACTGATGTTTCAAGCACAAAACAGTGTCCGTAGTAACCAGTCACTATTGAATGGAGGTTAAAACTGGACTGAGTCAAAACTGTCATGTTAGTTTTGTTTGCAGCTACATGTTCCCTAAGACATTTCTCTAGACTGCTCTCAACTTATATTTACATACAGACCAAATAAAATAATGTTCTTGCAACGACTTCTGCTGTGAGAGACAGACTGTTTGTCCGCCCTCCTAAGAACCAGCCACAGAAATACGTCAGCCTCTTGTTCTCATTCTGTAGTCTTGCATTGGGTTAATCATTGGGATTATGTGAAGAAACAAAGAAAGTTTCAAGTTACAACTTCAAACCACCAAAGGCCATCCCGTTAGGTCTGATCTTCTGTTGTTAAAACCTGTAGGAAGCTTTTGAAGCGATTCTGGTTATGTGAAAAATTAGTGGGTACCAGCCACGACACCCACGCTGTACTGCTGCTCCATGTTATGATGTGTCATCAGCTGCTGAAGGCACAAATAGCCAAGAGCCAGGTGCTCTACAACGCTCCCCGGACACCAGGCCCATTGAAATCAACAGCCTGATGTTCCCGCAGATGTTCCCTCTCTGCTCGTCCCATGAAAATAACCGCCAAATGTCTTCACCACTCACAGACCACAGCTGCTCATTTTGTAATTACGAGACAATATCCCGAGTACAAGCAAAGAAAGATCGCATGATTTGCTGAAACTGAAAGAGCAAATGAAGTCCTTTTGGAAACGTCCTCATCCCAGGTCTGTCCATGACTGAGACAAGAAGGTTGCCTCTGAGGACAAATAAACCTCAGAGTGGAGACTAAACTGCTCTTTTCAAACTCAGAAATAAAACTGGAGTCCACTTTAATGTATGACTATGAGGAAAACATTCTAGTCGCAAATATTTTTATTGTATTCGTAAAATTTTATAGTATCTGCGTGATAAGCATTCTCATATTAATCTTGAATAAATGTTTGCCATTTAAATGAATGCATGAAAATCTGCTAATTTCATCTGAAACTAGTTTGCTGTTTAAAAAGAGCCTTTTTTCTTACTTTTAGCATCTGACTCAGATGATCATCTTAGTGGAGAGCACAGAGGTACAGACCTTTCTTGAGAACAGCAGTTTCAAATTTCAGCTGCAAAGAAAACTGAAAACAAGGCTGGGGAAAAAAAGCAGCTTTCTCGCCCGGGATGGGCTGGAGTCTTGGCTCCTTTGACTGGCCAGCCCTGTTGGCTTTGGGCAAATCACCTGACCTCGTAGTCCTGTTTCCTCTCCTGCAAAATGATCACGCGCCAACGCACAGCCGTCAAGCCCATTCTGACTCATGGCGGCCCTCCAGACCAGGCAGAACTGCCCCGAGGTTTCCAAGTCTGTAACTCTTGCTGCGAGTCGAAAGTCTTGTCTCTCTTCGGAGGAGCGGTTGGGGGTTTCTAACTGTTGACCTCAAGGCTAGCATCCTAATGTGTAACCACTATGCGCCAGGCTCCCTCCCCACAAAATGAGGAGGTAGACCCAGGTCTACAACTCCTTTCAGGATTGACTTTATGCTATTTGGAGCTGCCACTGAGTGGGTCCCATCCACATGGGATCAGACTGCTGTGATCCTGAGGGTTTTCACTGGCTGATTTTGGTTAAATTTTTCACCAGCACTTCTTCCTAGTCCACCTGAATCTGAAAGGTCCAACCAAGTCTGTTTGGCATCATAAGCAAGCCTTTGCTTAAGGTACATGAGCTGGGTATTGAACCCATGTCTCTTGCACAAAAGGTAAGAATTCTACCACTGAACCACCAACCACCATTGCCATCCAACTCTCCATAAACCTAATTCTGTTTGACTCTGATGACATGGATTGACGCCGTGGTTGCGTCACTGGGCAGAGGCAGGGGAACAGTTATGAGGACGGTGCAGGACTGTGCAGTGTTTCATTCTGCTGTGCAGAGGGTCGCGATGGGTCAGAGCTGACGTGATGGCACCCAACACCAGTAACATTTGACTTCTACTGGGTATGTGGCTTCACAGTGAAGAAAAATCTCCGTATTTTATGGGAACGTTTTCATTTCCCGTTGCTTGTTCGTTACCGGCTTTCTTGGTTTTATTTTGAGTGTGCCCAATGTGTCTCTCTTTTTTTACACCCCACTGTAGTATTCTGTGTTATATGTGTCTCTGTGTATGTGTTATATATTTTTTTGTCTGTGTATTGTGTATATATCTTAGTATATCTCTCTTTTTTTATATTAGTGTTATGTGAATTAGACACATCACCGCTTCTCAATTATTAAAAGGAATCACCATTTTAGTACGATGCGACTCTAAAACAATAATGATGTATTTCTCATTAAATAAGTGCCTTGCCATGTGCTCCTCTGTCAAAGTGTAAGCCTTGCATGGATTATATACCCCTCCTCCACGAGGGCAGAGCCCCGGTGGCCCCAGGATCGCACGCTGGGCTGCCACACTGCACATGCAGGTGCTTGAGCCGCCAGCTGGTCTGTGAACGGGAGATGGGCATCATCTGCTCTCATCGAGATCCCCAAACTCTCAGGCATTAAACGGATCTGTAGGGTGGGTGTGAGTTGGAATCACATCAATGGAAGTTTTTCCCATAAGGTAGCATGAAAGCACTATACTTAAGACACTCACATCAGTCACGACCCAAAGAACTTTCCAGAACAGAACCTTCTGCCTGTGCTTGGCCTTGGATGTCAGAACCAGCTCCAGTTTGTTACCAGCTAATTCACCAAGCACTCCGTTTCCCATTCAATCTTCGAACCATGTCAGAAAAAGGAAATAAAATCCATCTGCCAGAGAGATCACTGGCTACCACATCATGCAGCAGCAACTTGACTATGTAGACAAAGAGTAAGGCATAAAATTCAAATATTAACTGTGCTACTCACTTGTTGATGGTCCTCCCAAAAGTGACCTGCACAAGAGCAATTAATGTTCTTCTCACCCATTTAAACACTAAAATATAGACCAGAGAAAGACTATTATCACATTATCACAGGAAATCAAATTATAACATTTTTATAGCTGCACAAAGCAGAACCCTCATTCATTTAATTCAATCATCTAGTCATGGCTTTGTTATCTGCAGAATTTAGGTTGAAGTTAAACAAGCAGACTTATGCCTAGGAACGCTCTTGTATTCTGAAAAAGAAAAAGCCTAAGAGTTTGTACAGTTTTTCAATACCTAAACAGTCGCTGAGCTGGCAAGAAGAAATAATACTCTACTTCCTATGCCGCTGGGCTACCAACAGCGTGTCTGTTATCCACTGGCACATGGGGTAATTCCTGTTTTAGATTTCTGTCTGGCTCATTGAAGCCACGCTTCTAGCACACTGCTGTGAAAGGGAAACATCTGTAGCCAAATGTTGACAAATATTTTGAAATATTAATTAACTGATGTGTCTAGCTAGCTGCACGCCTTTGCAATATAATTTGTAGATAGCCTCCTACTTTTAAAATCTCTTTTATGCTTTGGGGGGCGGGGAGAAAGTTGAATTGCAAAAAGCCATTGAGTCAGATGTGATCTGAACACCCCCCCTTCCGGTGCCCCTTCGTTAACACACAGACTTCCTTCTCAGGGCGACCACAAAGGCGAGCGGAGATGGTCCTAGAGGGGTTCCCAGGTGGTCATCTTTAGGGAAGCAGACTGCCTCATTTTTTTCTTGAAGAAAGGCTCTTGGAGTCAAACTGCTGGCCTTTCTCATTGAAGCCAAATGCGTAACCACTGTGACACCAGGGCCTTTTACAGTAGTTAGGCAAAAAACCATTCCCGGAGAAGGCCATCATGCTTGGTAAAGAAGCCGCGCAGTGAAAAAGAGGAAGGCCTTCGACAAGATGCAGGGACACAGTGACCACATCGTGGGCTCAAACCTAGTAACGTTACCATGATGGCACAGGGCCGGCAGTGTTGTTCGGCTGTACATAGGATTGCTATGAGTTGGAACCAACTGGACGGCACCTGGCAACAATGAAAGGCCTAAATCACCTGTCCTGAGCCTCCGCGCCTCTTCGGGAACAGGATGGCAGTCACGTTTGCTGCCCTTGCTCTGGAGGGGCGCTCAACACTGTGTGTGAAAAGGCCCCGGTGAAAGACGGTCCCCTTGACATTTTCCGTATTAGCAAAGACAGAGTTACACAGGAAGTGAACAGAAACTGAAAAAAGAAAGTGCTTTGAGGATGTCTTAGGTACACAAATTGGAGTTAAACCGAAATTTCCATTTAATATATTCATCTCCATCCGATGAAATGTTTGACTGCTAACAGGAGAAAGAGGCCCATTTGGTTATAACGAAGCCCAGAGTTCAGGGCTCTTGTGTCCTTTTAAGGAGAGGTTAAAATGGAGCAATCACAACCATTTCCGTTCAAGATGAGGTACACAAATAGAAATCAGCAATCAGAACTTAAAACACTCCAAAGTTGGTTCTAATTGCTGCTGTGGATCTAAATATCCAGTGAAGGCCGTGTTAATCCTTTAAGTCAGAGTCAAGTCTAGTGTTAGAACCAGGCCTCAAGAACATCGGGAAAGAGTCTTATCTGAAGGGTGCGGCCAGCATGCAGAGTGGTGCTCCTCAGGTGGGCACACAGCCAGGGCAGGAGGTAGCTTCACCCGAAGGTCTGAGGCTATCTGAGCTCTAGGAAGAATATGTGATGGACCAAACCAAGTCAAAGCCAAACCCACTGCCATCAAGTCACAATCAACTCGGGGGGATAGGGTGGGACTGCATCATATGGTATCTGTGGCTGTAAATCTTCACAGCAACAGACTGCCTCACCCTTCTCTGGTGGAGCAGCTGGTGGGTACAAACTGCTGACCTTTCAAACATTCCAACACTTAAATTAACCCACTGTGACCCTAAGGCTTTCTGCCGGCCAGTGACTGGTTCCAAGAAAGGCTACTATTGGTCCTTTTATGACGACCGACTCAAACAAGAGCTATAAATGATTTTGCTGCAAAGTCTCTATCATCACTGATCTTCCCGGATCCTACTGCTTTTTCTATCCTTGCCCAGCCCCTAGTGCGCCTCCCCACACCCCGCCACCACATGCATAAATGATAATAATAACACCACCGCTCCTTTCAAAGGACTCATTTGTCAACAGAGGCAGCTGTGGCAGAACTGAGATTTTGCTGATGGCAAATATATCACATCTCATTATAAATGATATTCTATTTATTCGCCTCTGAAATGTCACTAGCACAACTAAACATGCTTCTGAGCAGAATGTAATGGAGGATTCGGAGCCCTACTCCTGCCGGGACTGCTCTGCTCCTCCCGCATCTTTTCATCGCTTTGCACTGCAGCGAACACACAGACAAAGACCAGAGCACTTCCTCATGCCCGTCCACGCCACTGCAAACGGGAGTTCAGTGAGGAAGAGTCAGGAAGGCGCAACATTCAGTTTTAGGGAAGAGTGTTTGTTTTGTTATTTTGCTTACAGCAAATCAAGTTAAGTATTGGTATATCTCTTAGTGTCTAAAATATGACAAGGCTACAATGAAAGGATTTTACATCTGAAAGGATTTTAAATAGATGGTGTGGTGGTTATGTGTTGGGCTGCTAACTGCAAGCTGAGCCATTTGAAACCAGCAGTCATGCCAAGGGAGAAAGATGGAGAGTCTCCGTCTCAGACCCCACAGTGGCAGCCCTGCCCTGCCCTGCCCGGTAGGATCACAGTGAATTGGGATTGACTCGATGGCAGTGAGTGAAACCTCATAATTAAGTGTTTTATAAAATGTAACTATTTCCATTTCTGAAGTTTAACTTAGTTGCAACTTTTTTATTGCTAAAATGAATATCCATATATAAAGCGTAGTATAGATGAATTTCATTGTGCCTGCTGCTCAGGGTGGGTAACGTCTGTAAAGTCCTGAGACTGTAAACGCACTGAAGCCACAATACATGTTTGGGTTCCCCTATAGAGTTATATAGGCAGCTTTAAAAAGTGCATGGAGAAATTGAATGAAAAAATAATCGATTTCTTCCACAAAGTTTTTAAAGCCTCCTCAGATAAAATATATGACCTCCATTACTGGCTGACTGTTATCATATATTCTCTTATTTTTGGCTTAAGAATTTAAAAGTTCTATAACAATTCACTCAATGTGAAAGATAATGAGTTCCCTGCATTTAAATTTTTCTTGCCCTCTGATGCATCAGTCTGCCTAGCCAGGTATTTTAGAGATCACCTACCATGGGCCAGACTTACAGCGTTTACTGAGGATGAAAGCCAAGCTGGATAGGATAGCACTTGGAAACCTTTTCATCTGCTAATAATTCTTCAAATGACATGCTAAGGAATAGATAGGCACACAGAGATGCTTCCATAGCCTCCTTTCCACATAGGACTAACCCTCAGACCAGCCCTGAGAGAAAGGCTGTTGATCTGAGGCACATTCACAGGACAATTTCTGACTGGTAGGTGACATTACTGTGCCTCACAAGTCCTTGCTTTTCTCATTTGCTTGCTCTTTAAGGTGGCTGGGTATACGCCACTTCTCAGTTCTAGCGACGAGTGAGCATTTTGTTCTCATGACTCAGAGTTTGGGGGACTGTGAAAGCTACAGGAAGCGAGCCCAAATTCAGGGCCCAGACAAGACAAAGCTAAGTTGACCTTTCAGCAAAATGCTGCTGTGGGGGCCAGGTACTTCTGCGGCTCTTCACTAAGGGCACGTTGGTTCCTGCCCTGCTATTGTTGCATCTAAGTGCATCTCTCTTAGAATCTCCAGGGCATGATTTCACAATCATGGCACGAGAGAGCAGGATAACTCTTTGTTGTAGGGATTGGCTTCTGCATCCCCTAGATACAAGGTACACCTTCCTCTCCCCAAATTGTAACAATGATCAAATGTCTCCGGATGTCACCAAATATTTCTGTAAGGTGAGGAGTGGGGCGTAGACATTCCCTGCCTTCCATGTCCACAACGAGAACTACTCTTCTCAACGAAGGTGAATGTAAAGTAGGGGTGAGGCATTTCTCACAACACCAAAGCCACGGCTTTAGTACTAAGAGTTCTTCCTCTTAATATTAATATTTAAACAAGCCAATATTAATATTAAAAAACCCTGTTTTTGTATTGTTTTTTATCATAAAACTCATATGTGTGTGCTGAGTCCCATAGAAAGAAAATGAAGGATTCCTGTCTCGTTGTTTCCAGAAGGAAACGGAGCTGGGTTAATCAGTCTCCTATGCGCCATGAGCATAGGGGGAGCATTTGTCCTCGGTGCCTAGCACAATATTTGGCCCGGAAAGATATTTGCTGAATGAATGAATGCATGAATATAAATACATGTCTGTTTAACTTTAGGGGAAAAAAGAGATATTAGGGGTGAGTGCCTACCAGTTAACTACCAAATATCAGTAAAGAATAACAATGAAACTTACTGCCTCGAAGTTCAAAAATCTCCCCAATCAACATGAAACATGGTTCGGCCAAGGCGTCTTTCCTCCCATCCACATCATCGCCACAGTCCGACAGGTCACTGTCCTCCTCCGCCTCCGCCTGGGGGTACAGAAAGCCACAGGGATCAGAGACCACCTCGCCAAGGGCGGGGGCGGGCTTTTCTCCTTCAGAGATACAGTCCAACCATTTGCTCATATTTCAGCCTTATACAATCCTTTGCCTTTCCTATACACAGAAATATATTTTTAATATGGAGGGAAGAATACATCTAGCCTGAGGAAAAATCTCAATTCAAAAGACTGATACAATCTTCAAAATAATCAAATTCTAAAATTTCTGCCACTATATTAGTAATCAGTGAATTAATAGACAATAAAAGTTGTTTTACCATTTTTAAGTTTGGACCGTCAGGTTGTTTTGGTTTTTTGTTAGTTTGTTTTTTAACTGAAGGCCTGATTCGAACTTTAAAATAAGCTAATTAAAACAAAAGTCTCAACAACCCTGAGACCAGAAGAACTAGACGGTGCTGGGCTCCCAGTAACAACCACTCTAAAAAGGATCATATAAGAAGTTCTTGTAGCTAGGTGGGAGCTTCAGAAATACAAATGGGTTTTCAGTTCACACTTAATCATAAACTCTAATCTAAGAATGACGTGGCCATGTTCAATACTAGCCCTCATTAATTGGTCAACGAAGATACAGGTACTACAGCAACATGTGGTGAAGAAATCAGATGGTGCCCAGATGTCAGAAAGAACAGCGATTGGGGCCTCCACCGTTTGTCTTACACAAGCAGTCATCTAAGAGGTATCGCTAAGTCCACATAGAAAGAGCACATACGCCCATCTGATACGAAGATTGGAAACAATAAAATCCAAGATCAGGAGAGGATTGGTTTCGGAGCTTAAATTTGGAGCACCCAGTTTTCAGAAGGATATGGGTGACAGGGAGAGCCTCAAATTCCTTTGCTGAGTCCCCACCTTGGATTAAGCTTCCACTGAATTCCCTCAGACCATTGACAAGTGACGTGAGTAGCCTTGCTCTCAGATAAGAGTAAACTGGAAAGTGGATTACTGCAGATACAGTTAGGCTAAAATTTAATACATTAAATTTTATTTGTTTTCTCTTTGGACTTATTTTCAATTTGTTCTAGTTTCTATTATGTTCTTGGATTAAAATTTCTATTATTTCACATGGGTTGAGGTTTTTCTGTTTCATTTTGTTGTGGGTTGTATTAATTAGCTGTGCGTGATTTTCTGTAAATGAAATCCAAGACAGGCAAATCTAGAGACAGTAACTAGATTAATAGTTCCTTAGCGTTATGGCAGGGGTGGTTGCGGATAATGGGGAGCTAATAATAATGGATACAAGGATAAAGAAAACTGTCTAAAACTGATTGTGGTGACGATTCCATAACTTTTTTTTAAATCATTTTATTAGGGGTTCATA